GTTAACGTTCGTTCGTTTATGTTCGTTTATGTTCGTTGATTTATTAATTTTAATATATAATTTTTATTTATTTAGTTTGAATTTAAATTTTAAAACATTTTTATTTATTGGGCTTTTAAAAGAGTTTAGGCTTTTTAATATTTGGGCTTTTTGTAGGGTTTTGTTGGTGACTTGGTGTGGACTATGGTCGATTAGGGCAGAAGCGACAGGGAGAAGCGAGAAGCGAAGCGAAGGGGTGTGGTCCGTGTGGAGTGTGGTCGTCGATTAGGGCAGAAGCGAAGGARACCGTGCTGTAGCCTGTAGATCAATCGCCAATCGTGAAGCAGTATCTAGGTATGTAACCGTATGTAGCCATCTCTTCTTCGCCTCTTCGGTAATGGTATGTAACCATATGTAGACTCTATTGTTCCTGATACTGCTGTTGTTCCTGATTTTGCTGATTCTCTGCCTAGACTCCATTCATTTTCTGAATCAAATGCCTGATCTTGTCTATCCACATATGAATATATGATTGCAACAACTGGTTCAGTCTTGCACCGAAATCACTTTGAAGAAGATTAGAGACTCTTCTCCTACATATGAATGAATTTCTGAATTCTCTTTGATCATGTGAATAATGGAAGTGAGTTAGTAATGATTAAATAAACTACCTGCTTGTAAGTTCTCCTAGTTCAAATCTGCTGCCATTATCATCATCGGACAAATAGAATGCATAACTCCCACCAACCGGAGCAGCTTCCTGATAGGAATTTCCAACAAACCAACTTTCTGTGGAATCCTCTAGAGTATTGTCATACCATTCTTCATTTGATTCTTGGTAATCACTCCCTACTGTTTCCTGATACCAACCATCTTCATTGTCATTTAAACTGACTAACTGTTAAATCAAGTGATCACATATTACTCATGTATTTTTGCATTTCGACCTCTTATTTGCTTTGTTGTGCCTCTTTTTTATGTTTCATGTGAGTTGTTGTAACACCCTAAAAAAAGACTATCCAAACCGAAAGTATCTAACGAGAACCAAAACGGCACGGCAAAGCCTGCTGTTTGCTGTCGGTAACGAGCGCGGAAGACAGCAGCTCTTGCTGCTGTTTGCTGTCAGCTGCTGTCGGACCGAACGAAGAAAACGCAGCAGTGCTGCCTGCTGCTGTCACTAGCTGCTGCTGTCCAAAACGGCACGGCAAAGCCTGCTGTTTNTGCCTGCTGCTGTCACTAGCTGCTGCTGTCCAAAACGGCACGGCAAAGCCTGCTGTTTGCTGTCGGTAACGAGCGCGGAAGACAGCAGCTCTTGCGGCTGTTTGCTGTCGGCTGCTGTCGGACCGAACGAAGAAAACGCAGCAGTGCTACCTGCTGCTGTTCAAAACGGCACGGCAAAGCCTGCTGTTTGCTGCGCACGAGGAGAACGAAAGGCACGGCAGTGCTGTTGCTGCCCAGAACGACACGACAACGCCTGCTGTTAGGATTCGAGTGCAGGGTAACCCCCCCCCCCCTTTTTTTTTTTTTTTTACAAGCAAGTACATATAACTAAAGTAAAATAGTTAGAAAGGAACTAGGTGTTACAGTTGTCGTTCTCATCCTCTTGGAACATGAAGCCCTGCTGCGTTTTCTGCCTTTCTTTCTCGCCAAACTCATTTTTATTGCATTAGCAATTTGCTGGCTAAAACTCATTTTTATTTAAAATGTTTTTTTGCATTTTGTAGATGTCTGATGTCTCCTKTAGCGGTCCATATTTCTTTCATGATGATTTATATTTAGATCGGATGCAATCGCCTCAAGAACTTGAATCAACGGAAATTGAATCAAGTGCAAACACATCAAGAATGGAAAGTACTCCCGAAGTGGTTGTTATCGGATCGAATRATGKAGACGACGTTGTAGCAGCCGTTGATGGTGGTATAGAAAAGACCAACATAGTCAACAATGAAGAATCTACTCCATATGCTAAAAGGAAAAGAAATAAGACTTCAGGAGTTTGGGAACATTTTCGCTTGGTGAAGTTGGCTACTGGAACTGAAGTTTGTGAGTGCATCCATTGTGGTGAGAAGATAAAGAAACTTAAAGATGGAACCACCACACCATTGCATAGGCATATTAGTGATTGCCCAAAGTTAAAAGCCGTCAACACCATTCATCCAGGTCAGTTAAAGTTAAAGGTTGTGCCGGGGAAATTAGATTCTTCTATGGTCCAAAACTGAAAATTTGACAATAGTAGGATTAGAGAGGTTGTTTCTCATATGATTATGGTTCATGAGTTGCCATTTAATTTTGTTGAGTATGAACTATTTAATGTGGTTATGAAGGAAGCTAACCCCGGGTTTAACAAGATTTCACGTGCATCGGCTAAGCAAGATTGTGTTGCTAGTTATGAAATAGGCAAGAAAAGAATCAAGAAAATGCTAAGCGCTGTCAATCGTGTGAGTATAACAACTTATATGTGGACGTCGGTGCAAAATATTCATTATATGGTTGTTACTTGTCATTTTGTAGATTCCGATTTCAAGCTTAACAAATGCATATTGAGTTTTGTTGATGTACCACCACCTTATTCTGGACTATGTATATATGATTCCCTCTTTAAGTGTTTAAAAGAGTGGAAT